TCCCCGCCAGACAATGGCCGCTACCCAGCGCCACAATGAGGACAAGCACGCGACAGCGGATGGCTCGAGGAAGCATCGTAGCTCGCGACGGACGGACCCCGTAGACCCTACGGCATCGCATTCGCACCACCACAAGTCTTCCAGCAGGGACAGGACCTCTACCGCACTACCATCGTCATATCCTTCCGTCCCGCAATCTCCGGCACCGTCTGCACAGTATCGCGCACAGGACGCGTACTCCGATGCATACGGGCTCCGCGCGTACATCAAGCGCAGGGCCGACAAGCGTAGCCCGAGGTCGTCTAATGAGAGGGTACCAGGAGGTGACGACCCGCAGACGTCGCGTTCAGCCTATCCTTCTCGACACGATTACGCGACAACTGCCTCCTATGCTCAACCTCCCGCAGCTGCGAATTATTACGCAGCTACGTCCGATCAGACTACGCGCGATCCAACCTCGTCCTCTCGCCGCCATCGTGAGCGTGACAAGGACAGGGAAAAGTCTAGTCGGCGCGATGCTGAGAAGGCAAGTACTCGCAGTCGTACAGTGGAGACTCCCGAGGAGAGGGAGAGACGGAAGAGGAAGGAGAAGGAAGTGAGAAAGGAGAAGGAGAAATCTTCGAAGGACCGGGAGAGGCGCAGGGAGAAGGAGCGGTCCGGAGATCAAGAGGCACGAACAGCGGGAGACCTCAGGCAACCCGACGTAGCCAGTGTGCATCAGGGCTATGGCAAGGGGCCAGTTCCAGCGGAGAGGTCAACCGAGAGGTTGCCAGCTGGCTATCCGGTACGCACAATTCAACCTCCAATGTTTGCCATTAGCTCAGCCTCGGCCAGGACTATGGCCGCACCCCGGTCCCGCAGGCTACGTCTGTCCAACCTTCAGCCCCTCCCACTGCACCATGGAATGGCCTCACTGCTGGTGGGCGTGTGATCCCTCAGCTATCCACACCCGTCGTGGATGCGGGGTACCCCTCCGCTTCCGACAGAGAAGACCCACCACTACCTATACCGCCACCTGGCAGTAGACGCGAGAGATCGTCGTCCAAGGCTCGTCACTCTCAGCGTCACCAAATGCTCGCCCAACAAGCCGGCCAAGATTCTGGAATTTCGAGCAGCGAACAGGAACATTCTGTCATGGAACGGGTTCGCTTAAATCCATACCTGTTCCCGCATTCGATATTAAAAAGTATCATAGGCCAGGCGCTACATCAGTCGGGAGCAGGCAAGCACCCTGGGGCGTGGGCAATCCTCCGGTCCTTCGGGTAGTGAGAACGAGAAGGCGCCTACCCTACAGAAGGAGCGCGTAAGTTTAGCGTGTCTCGTCATGCACATCGGATATTCATGCCAGCTATTGCGTTCAGCGGAAGCACAAAACCCGTGGGGAATCCTCGCGTCACAGGTCGAGGACGGCGGCGACGGATCCCCAAGAGCCTCCTGGTCCCAGCACGAGCCAAGAGATTGCTGCTGCATGGTACCAGCGGGTAAGTCAACTCCTATTGTGAGACAAATGAATATCCTGAATGTTATTCCTCATCCAGCATCAACGTGATGCTTCTGCAACGAAACCATCCGTGTTGCCGGGCGAGTCTTCACAACACCCACCAACTGCAGCACCCTATAACCCAGGGCCTACGCAATCCGGTGCGCCTTACACAGGCAAGCCTACTTCACACGTAGGTCTGACCACATCTCAACGTCCTGCGCCTCAAATAGTCAGCATTCGTGCTGGACAGGGGCCGCCCGAACCACACGCAGGTACCTTGTTACCCAAGACGCACAGTTCGACGTCAATTGCTCGCCAGGCCGATCCACAGCCCACGGATCGTGCCCAGGACGCCGCTACTCGCCTGCCAACCGCAACACAGTACAATCAGCAGACCGCTGCGCGGCAACTAGAGGCGTTACTGCAGTCAACTCCCGGGCAGCCGCATCATCTTACACACGCGGATACCTCCAGGACTTACCAGCATGCGTCTGCAGTCTCGGGCACCGCGGGCGCTTACCAACAACCAGTGTATCCCAGCGCGACCTCGTCCTCGCAGCACGTGCAGTCCAATGCGGTAGCTGCTACTGTCGGACATGGTGGTCAGCAGGTCGTTTTACCCGATGTTGTGATACGACCTCCCTCGGCAGCCCCTACACAACATGATCCATACTCTTCACGAGCCACAGCGGGCGTCCCACCCACATCGTTCCAGCAGGGTGGCCGGTTGCAACCAAACGACCCTCGTTCACGTTCCACTCCGGCACCCCAGCAAAACGCAGGTCATACACAAATGACGCCGGCGACCTCCAATCAAGTATCGTACCCACAGCCCCATGCCACCACGCTCCATCTTGACGTAGATCTGCACCGATCAGCTCCAGGGACTTTCCAACAGTACAACGGTTCTGCGGACCTCCACAGAATCGCAAGTCCAGCACCTCATGGGTCGGGACATACCAAAGGAGTTTCACAGGACATACCTGCACGGTTTCCAGTGTATGAAGATACCCTGGTGTATCCACAACCCGCAAGCACGGCCCCAGGATATGGTTCGCAGCATACTGGTGTGGCCTATAATCCGCTCCCGGTGGCTAGCAACTCCCGGAATGTGAGCGCGGCGTCTCAAGGATACCCCTCCGCGTCCCCGAAGAGGGGCATGACTTATCCAGGTGCCTCGGCGCCCCCACCTACTCATGCTGTCCACGTCAATCCTACCAATCACCACGCCGCTGTCGGCCCCGACCCTCGTTCGCCAAAACCTCCTTCAGTAGCTACCATAACGCCTGAAGCGCCGGGGACCCGGTCTCGCACCCAGTCCGGGAATGCGAGGGAGCAGTCCGGTCAGAATAGCCTGCACCAACCCTCCCCGCGACACGAGCAGCAGGGCGCGCAATTGGCTGGGGACAACGGATATGCATATGGTGTTGGAACCGGCCACTCACCTTCCCGACAGCATCTCGCCGATCCCGGACGATCTCCTGCTGTTGGCCATGCTGTATCTGCTGGGTCTGCTGGGACGCCGAAACACTCGCCCTCTGGACGACTGCATTCACATCGCAATGGTTCTAACGACACGATCCCCCACTCTGCCCCTACGAAACCGTCCCCTAGCAGCACTATCCATCAGCAACTTCCCCATTACACTAGTGCCACCACCGTACAATCTCACGCCGCGTCACGACCCGATAATCCCTCGCTCTCTCGCCAGCCTAATGCTTCGTCCGGATACCCTGAGCTTGCTAGATACCGTTCTCCTGCCCCTGTGGGATACCCGACTGCTCAACTTCCTTCTACTGTCCCCAACGGTGCCGCAACCGGCCACTCTCAATCATACAGCACGCAAACCCCTTACGATCATCAGTATGGCCGTTCCACTGCTACGCATCCCCAGATAACCACCTCTCAGTATCCCCAGCCTGTATCTCAAGCCCAAGCTCGCTCAACTCAAGCCAACGAGTATGGACATCGTGCTCAAGATCCGCCTCATTCGGCTCCTCCAACGACGACTTCGATGCCCATCACAGGCCAGCGGGTTCCTCTTCGTTCGGCCCCTTCTCCTGCGCCGACCGTCCGACCTACACGACTCCACGCCGTGTCGTCTCCCTCGGGGAAGACACCGGCACCACTACAGTCGGCTCCTCCACAACCGGTTCGCAATCAGACATATCCTACCCCGGCGCCAAGCCAGTACGCCACGCAGCATCCCCCTGCCCACTCGCGCACCGCTTCAGATCCGCAATACGCAAGCCGGGCTGTCAATGCCGCCTATGCGACCGGGAGCCTACCTTCGAGACATCAGATGCCTCCCAGGACGACGTCCAGTTCTACAATGCAGCAACAGGAAGTGCTCCTCACGCCTTCGTCTCTGGCACCCTCTATGCTCCCTCAGGTGACGCCCACTGTACCGCTGGGCCGCACTACGTCAAAGACGTCGACGATCGGTAAAGACAAGGACTCGAAGAAGAAAGGCTTCTTCGGGCTGAGCCTCTTCCGTTCCCGCTCCTCCCCTCCCAAGCAAAGAGAAGTAGAACCGCCTCCGTCCGCGGCGATCCGGGAAAAACGCACGCGCAACATTTCGCACCCTAGCCCTCATCCGCCGCCGAACTTCCAGGCACCTCAGGTATCCGTGAAGCCACAGGCTGGCGCTCCCGCGCCGCAGGTCGCCGTCGCCGCGGTGTCGATCCCGGCACCACCGCAGCCGCAACGTGGGCCTAGCTCCAATCAAGTCCCCATCGCCGCACCTACACCTGTTCCCGCATCCGGGCGACGCAGCCCAAACGGCAAGATCTTCACTCCCTTCAGGCTGTTGTCCAGGCGACACCGCACAGTCTCCGCCGCATCCGTGGAGGCGGTGGACGGCACGGTGGTGCGTCTTTCTGCGCTCTGATTCCAACCTTGTTGCTGTGTGACTGACGGTATATCTGTAGATCAACGCGATGCTGACCGGGAATTCCTCGACGAGGAGTTCGACCGCAGGACGTCCGTCGCCGCCTCTACGAGACCCTTTGACGGCGGCGCATGAATGGCGCAACAAGGAGGAGAACGAGCAACAGGGTCGTGGCACAGTCCGCCGCCGCCGTCCTGGTGTGACGTTCGACATCGAGGAGGAGGTCCCCGAGGATGGGCGAGCCCCCGTGCAGAAGTCGCTGAGAGCGAACATCGCTGCAATGCAGTCGGCGAGTGGTCCGGTGCCGGCGCACAGACAGGCGACCGCCTAAGGTGGCACGGAGTGTATCTTGCGAAGATCGAGGCCTTGGACGATGCAAAGACTGCGCTGTGGAATGACTCATGACTTTGGGGTATAGAGTCGCGTTGACGTTGACGTTATCTATGCATACACCTGCTATGTAAATGTATCTCTATGTCGTCGTTACAGTTGTTGCTAGTGCAGGATGTATTGTATTGATAATGTAATTTTCATGGATATTTCTCGTAGCGGTTCGTCACGCTAACCTCGCTGACCAGGTTATCATGGTACTGGGGACCTGTAGCTTGACCTCACCACCTGGGTATCGGTTCGTTGGTGTAGTTGGTTATCACGTCTGTCTCACATTGCAGCCCGGATGGGTTGTGTGGTGCACAGGAGGTCCCCGGTTCGAGCCCGGGTCGAACCATTTTTACTTGGCGTGAGCGTAGACCCACTTCCCTGGGTGTGTTCCCCACATCCGCGCGGGTGTAGATGGCCCGCCAGCACGGTGCCGCGCATTTCCCATGTCGAAGGGTCGGCCCCGGGATAGGAGGGAACGGCGGAAGCTGGCGGGTATGAACGCTGCTGCATTGCACGGGCCGGCAGGAGGCTGGCTGCTAGCGCTGGGAGTGATCGAGCGGCGAGCGCAACATGACACGATAGGCGCCCATGGTGCTACTCCAGCTGCGCGTCGGCTTCTTAGACCCCAGCACAGGTCTCCTCCTTTCCGTCATCCCCCTCCTCCCGTCCGCCCCCCAGCACCCTCGTTCCCTACCGTGGCCTCTCGTAGGCTTGCACCGCCGCCAACATGATGACGCCCATGCGTTATGTGGTATTGGTGCTGGGCATCATTGTAAGCAATCATCCCCTCCTCCCTCCGCCTCATCCCTCGTCCTGACACCAGCCACGTAGATCAGTTTGCACTTCATCCTCAGTTTCTCACACGAGGAGTACGGTCGGGCGACATCTATCTCCCGCCTCTCAGAGCAGTTCGGCGGTTCCAAACCTCATCCGCCCTACGAGAACGGTGTACCCGAAGACTACTACGTCTCGACGCCTCCTGCAGCGGAGGGTAGAAGGGCAAACGCTACGTTCGTCTTGTTAGCTCGCAATGGCGATCTGAACGGTGTCGTCATGAGCATGAAGCAAGTCGGTGCGTACTTGAAGACGAGCGTGATGCTAAATCCATGCTGAACCACGTCCCAGAGGATCGTTTCAACAAGGAGTTCCATTACCCCTATGTTTTCCTCAACGAGGAGCCGTTTTCGGAGGAGTTCAAAGAGTGCGTTCGCTAAGGCGTCTGACCTCTAGAATTCAAGCTCACCTGTGTCAATCAGCCGCGTACAGACCCTCACTGACTCCAAGATTGAGTTTGGTCTCATCCCCAAAGAAGACTGGGTTCAGCCTGCATGGATCGATGAGGCTCGCGCGACCGAAGCTCGCAAGGACATGGTGGAGAAGAAAGTCATCTACGGAGGAAGCGTGCCTTATCGCAATATGTGCCGGTTCAACTCTGGCGTGAGTGACTGTCTCTCGATGCACCTAAACAGGGGGTTAAAATCCGCCTAGTTCTTCTATAGACATGAGCTGCTGCAAAAGTACAGATACTACTGGCGTGTTGAGTAAGTCGTGATGTACTCATTCTTTAGTCTTGGACTAATTTATTTGCAGGCCCGACGTGAACTTCTTCTGTGACATCCATTACGACGTAAGCTATGAAATTAGCCCTTCGGTATTTGCGCGTGATTAACGCAATCCGTACCCAGCCATTCCTCCTCATGCAGGACCAGAAGAAGGTTTACGGTCAGTGTTCCATCTGAACATTCATTTACACCACTATAACCCATAAACAGGTTTCACAGTCTCGCTGTACGAGTACCCGGCCACTATTCCTACACTGTGGAACGCGGTCAGAGGTAAGCTTACTGGCCATGAACTTACCCATCGCCAACTGATCTCGGATTGTAGAATTCATCAGCGCAAACCCTGACCTGGTGGAGAACGATAACGCCATGCGTTTCATCTCGGACGACGGCGGTGAGACCTACAACAACTGCCATTGTAAGTGCCTATATACCGAAGTTGTCTCCGGTGACTCATTTTGTAATGCTTGGCGCAGTCTGGAGCAACTTTGAGATCGGCGACCTCGATCTCTGGCGTGGAGAGGCGTACTCGAAGTTCTTCGATTTCCTCGACGAGAAAGGCGGCTTTTACTACGAGGTACGACACAATGCATTGTGGCAAACCAGAACGTTCTAACGTCAATCAGCGTTGGGGAGACGCGCCGGTCCACAGCATTGGCGCAGCTCTTTTCGCCAAGAAGGAGCAGATCCACTTCTTCAACGATATCGGCTATCGTCACAACCCCTTCCAGCATTGCCCTCAAGGCGAGCTTCACAAGAAGGGCAAGTGTTGGTGTAACCCCAAAGAGAACTTCGGTCAGTGCCACACTTGATGTATTCGGGCGTTAGCTCAACTCGCTTTGTCGCAGACTATGAGTGGTACAGTTGTCTCAAGCGTTACGATAACCTGTTCGCGTGAGCCTCCGATTTGTGGTTCTCAGTGTGTATCTCGTCCCGTTACATTATATATTGCCTGTTGGCCCTACCGGCATGTACTCCGAAACTTTGAACGTATGTGAAAGCGGAACCGATAACGAAACGGTACGGACTGCTTCCCGGGCAGCGAAACGATTTTTAGAGAGCATGCAAAGGTGAAAGAGATGTAATGCGATAATTGTTGGTAAGGAGAGGCTTGTGGGGAGTACAAACGTGGCCTCTATCGACTTCCCTACGTCCCGTTCCGCACGCGGGCCAAGACTAATAAGGGTTGCCCACCAAATACCTTGTCTACACACGGAGAATGTGAGGCGAAGCCTGCTGGTCAATTGGGCATAACAGACTGCCACTGTGTGTTCCGAACCTCTCTGACCAGTACGAGAGTCTAATTCGGGTTGACACTCCTAAGCACTTATTTCAACTGGAATGAATGCATAAAGGTCGCGTACGTATATGAGGCAGCCGTGTCCCTTGGACGCTGGTACAAGTGAAGGCTCGCATGTACTCTATCTGGTCAGGGCAACCTTTCGTTAAGACATTGTCCTTAGCGAGCTACACCAGGTAGGTAAGTGCCAACGCGAGTCCCCGCAGCAGCCTCGATAGATACTCCGCTGGCTTCCTCCTATCCGTTCCAGGCTGAAATTACGCTATTACTACAGATTACGATGGGTACAGCTGTCTCAAATGCTAGGAAGCCTTGTGAGCTAGTGTGCAGTCTTCGTTCCTCCCTTCCCAACGCCTAACTCTCGGAGGGTTGCTCCCTCCATCCGGGAACTACGAGACGGCGCGGGATGCGCGCTCGATGTTCAACGCATGTCGAGTGCGCACACGCGTCGTGGCGAACCGGAAGTAAGTTTGTGTCCGCTCGCCGTTTGACGTCGATGGCCAATCATAGGATTGACTGCGAGTAGTACTGGAACTGTCGCCCACCCAAGGCTGTAAGCAAGCGTCCGGCGGCGACGACAGACATCGACCACTCACCGAGTCGTATAGTCTTGTCCAGTTCGACCCGAGCGAGGCGTCGATGAGTCGCTGTACGTGTTCCTCTACGGCGACCTGTGTGAGGCCTTGCTGGAATCGGTCCCGCAGAATGGACGCCGTCTGCTCGCCAAATGCGGCAAAACACGGTAGTGACGAGTCCTTTTGCATCAACTCCACCAACGCTGCGCAAACGGTTATTAGCCACCGGTGTTCCCTATGCAGGGGCGATCTGTGGGTTTACTCACTAACAATCCGGTCACAATGCTTCCGGGCCGCCTCAAACCCTTCGTGGAAGAGCTTGCGGAACTCGCGATATGCGGGACTATCCAATCCACCCAGAACTTCGATGTATTCGAGCGGGAGCTTGAATGGTGCGGCCTCAAAGCCGATGTTCCCTGGAGAGTTGGCGAGCATGAAGCCGAAGTCTATGTGGATGAGATGGCCGTCGCGATCGAGTAGGATGTTGCCGTTGTGTCGGTCCTTGATCTGCAGCAGGTATGTTACGACCGAGTATCCGGCGAGCGACTTTGCGAAATTGCGCTGTGCCCGCACGAATTTTGCGGAGGAAGGATCGCCGTACGTCTACTCCATGATGTACGGTTAGTACGAGAAACCGGGATGTGTGGAGGGGAGACGTGCCGTCTTGAAATGGTCGAACAAGGTGACGTGCCCGAACCGACCTTCTGCTAACCTCCGCGCGTACTCTGCTTTCTTGATGGAGTGTATTGACACTGCATCGGTGATCGTCTCGACAAGCCCAGAGGAATTACCCGTGATCAGTATGCGGAAGCTAGCGAGCATCGAATTAGTTGACGACGCTGCTTCGAAAAGAGGTATACTCACTACCGTACCCAGCACTGGCAATTCTCGTCCTTCCAGATCTTCTCGAATTCCTGAATAAGTTGCACAGCGAGCTGTTCTTGCCTCAGGTCTCCACCCGTCTTCACAATCACGGACACACAATCCCAGTTGGCTGAAAAACCTGTGAACATAGAGTACAATGATCCAGGGCCGTCAACCACATACCGAGGTGACCGTACGGTGATGCCTGTCGTACACGCGCCTAACTCGACCGCATTGAACACAACCGCCAATGCAGAAATAAAAACATGGGAACCAACCTTTTTGGCAGCCCAAGACTCGCTGAAGACCACAGCGGACGGATCCGCTTTACTAAGCTCCCGCCGGATGATGCCCTCGTCCTCCGCTGTCTTCATATCCCCATTCGTGGAGGCTATCCGCAATGAGCTTTCGTTGACGCCGTTCTCGCGCATGCGTGCCATCCGCTCCTCCTCCAGCGCCAGCATCTCTTCCATGATGCGGTCCCGGATCGCCGCAGCCTCCGACGCTTGGAGCTTCATGCGCATTGGCGCAGGGGCCATCGGCGCACCCGTCTCCGTAAGCCCCCCAAGCGTTGAAGGAGCTGTGCTGCCTTCCGCCATAGCACCGGTAAGCCAGCTCGTACCGGGAAGCCAGCGCAGGGGTACACCCAGCATGGAGGTCTCCGGAGGCGGGGGTGGCATGCCGGGGCCGGATACGGCTGCTACGGGTTCTCGGACGAGACTGGCGTTGAGTTGTGCTAACATGACCGCCGCGGTGCGCATGCGCTCCGAGTACTCGTCGAGGGATAGCACGCGCTGTGGGACCACTCCCTGACCTTGGGCGCGTAATGGGGTATTGGGATCGCTCGCGGGTTGCGAGCCGCCGCGCTGAGTGGGGGTATAGCGAGACCTAGGGAGGGGGTATGCGCGCCAAGCGGATCGTGTTTGTCAAGGAATGGCGTGTCAGGATTTGAGGAAGTGCGCGACCAAGTAACCATGTCGAGCTCCTTGTTCTTCGGCGGCGGTGGGAGGACAATCGAGTCGGAAATGTCTATCTCTTTCGCACG